TTTTTTTTTTTTTTTTTTGAGACAGAGTCTCACTATGTCACCCTCAGTAGAGTGCCATGGCGTCACAGCTCACAGAAACCTCCAACTCTTGGGCTTAAGTGATTCTCTTGCCTCAGCCTCCCAAGTAGCTGGGACTACAGGTGCCCACCACAAAACCTGGCTATTTTTCTGTTGCAGTTGTCACTCTTGTTTAGTAGGCCCAGGCCGGGTTTGAACCCACCAGCCTCGGTGTATGTGGCCAGCACCCTAACCAGGGTGCTACAGGCACTGAGCCAGCTGGTAACAGTTTTTTGTTAGAAACAACACAAGAAGACAGTACAGGCCAGGCATGAAAGCCCATGCCTGTAATCCTAGCACCTTGGGAGGCCAAGGTGGGAAGATTGCTTGAGGCCAAGAGATTGAGACCAACCTGAGCAACATGGCTAAGCACCCATCTCTACAAAAAAAATAAAAATAAAAATAACATAAAATAGAAAAACTAGCCAGGTATGGTGGTACATGCCTGTAGTTCTAGCTACTCAGGAGGCTGAGGTAGGATGGTTGCTTGAGCCCAGGAGTATGAGGTTGCAATGAGTTATGATGATGCCACTGTTCTCCAGTCTACATGACAGAACAAGACCTTGTCTCAAAAAAATAAAAATAAAAAAGAAGCCAGTTGCAGTGGCTCACACCTATGACCCCAGTACTTTGAGAGGCCAAGAAGGGTGGATTGCTTGAGCTCAGGAGTTTAAGACCAGCCTGAGCAAGAGCAAGACCCTGGCTCTACTAAAACAGAAAAAACTAGCTAGGCATGGTAACATACCTATACCTATAGTCCCAGCAACTCAGGAGGCAAGAGGTTCACTTATGCCAAAGAGTTTGAGGTTGCTATGAGCTATGACACTGTGGCATCCAAGGTGACAGAGTGGGACTCTGTTCAAAAACATCTTTCAAAAAATCTGAGGTATTTTTCTGACACACAAAAACTGAAAGACTCCATCATTTTTATTATTTATTAATTTATTTATTGAGCAGAGTTTCACTTTGTCACCCTTGGTAGAGTGCCATGGCATCACAGCTCACAGCAACCTCAAACTCTTGGGCTTAAGTGAGTCTCTTGTTTTAGTCTCCTGAGTAGCTGGGACTACAGGCACCCACCATAATGCTCAGCTATCTTTAGAGATGGGGGTCTCGCTCTGGCTCAGGCTGGTCTAGAACCTGTGAGCTCAGGGCAATATACCCACCTCAGCCTCCTAGAGTGTTAGGATTACAGGTGTGAACCACTCCGCACGGCCCATCAGCACATTTTTAAACAAAAAATGTTCAAGGAAGTACTTTAGGCAGGATGAAAATCAAACCAGATAGAAATATGGATTCACATAAAGGAATGACAAACACCTGAAATGGTAATTGGACATGAGTAAATATATAATTGCTTTCTTATTATTTAAATCTCTTTGGGGTAATTGACTCTCCAAACAACAATTACAATATAGCACAGGGTTTTTGATATATGTAAAAGTAAACTGTATGACAACAATAGCATGAAGACCAGTAGGAGAATTCACTATATGAAGGATGCCAGCATGGAAAGATTTTAAAAAGCTTGATCCTTACTATTACTACAGTACAGCTGAACCAGTATCAACAACTACCTACCTTTGAACTTTTTGATGTGTAGGGAAAAAACACATTTGATCAAATCTTTGATAGGTTTTGTTATTTATAACCATAAGCATTTCTAACTGATACAATATTCACAACATATTTGACATGACATTAGTAAAGGACCCTAATGAAACATTATCAGTTGCCTCTAGGCTCTATAAACTTGTAAGAGAAAATCTGTGAAAAATGGACACTTACCCATGCTGGGTGTGGTTCCTCCCTCCAATAAACTAGAGCATAATTCAATCCGACCAGCACCTATGATAAAAAGACATTGCTTAGCACAATAATATTTTTAATTTTAGATTATTATAAGGGTACATGTTATTAGGTTATCTTGTTTATGTTTGTTAGCTAAAGTCTGAATTGTATTATGAGTCCTTCATCCAGGAGGTGTGCCATATACCCCTACATTGTACTCATTAGGTGGGAGCTTATTGAGCCTCTCTTCTTGAATTTTACTGTGTTTTTCTCTCACGTGGGCCTGCAGTTGTTCATCTACTAGTTTCAGATTAGCATTGAGTTCACAGGATGCTTGCTTTTTCATTCTTAAGATACTTTACTAAAGAGAATATTCTTCAACTCCATTCCATGGTATGCATTTACCACAGTTTATCAATCCCTTCATGAGTTGATGGGTACTGGGGTAGTTTTCCACATCTTTGTGATTAGAATTGAGCTGCTATAAACATTTGAGTGTCCTTACGGTAAAATGATTTTTTTTCTTCTAGGTAGATACACTAGTAATGAGATTGCAGGATCAAATGGAAGGTCTACTTTTAGCGCTGAGGATTCTCCACACTTTTTTCCAAAAACGCTGTATTAGTTTACAATCTCACCAATAAATTTTTTTTTTTGAGACAGCGTCTCACTTTGTCACCCTTGGTAAAGTGCTATGAAATCATAGCTCACAGCAACCTCAAACTCTTGGGCTTAAGTGATTCTCTTGCCTCATTCTCCCTAGTAGCTGGGACTACAGGTGCCTCCCCACACTGTCCGGCTATTTTTTTTGTTTGTTTGTTTAGTAAGCCTAAGCCAGGTTTGAACCCACCAGCCCCAGAGTATGTGGCCAATGCCCTAACCACTAAGCAACAGGTGCCTAGCCACCAATAAATTTTAAAAACAAGCTCTTATTTATTTTTTTTGAGACCGTCTCAAGCTGTCACCCTTGGTAGAGTGCCATGGAGTCACAGCTCACAGCAACCTCAAACTCTTGGGCTCAAGCAATTCCTTTGCCTCAGCCTCCCAAGTAGCTGGAACTACAGGCACTTGTCACAATGCCCAGCTATTTTTGTTTTTGTTGTTGCAGTTGTCATTGTTGTTTTAGCTGGCCCAGGCCAGGTTCAAACCTGCCAGCCTCAGTGTATGTGGTCGGCACCCTACCCACTGAGCTACGGGTGCCACCCAAAAACAAGGTCTTCTTAAACAGCAAACTGTTCCCATTTTTTTCCCCCAAATACAGAACAGAGTCTTAGAAATCATCTACAGGGAACCAAATTGTAATATGAGTAAAACTTTATTTTTAACCTCACCTATATTCTGTGACTTACACTGTGTTACTAATAGTCAAATTTAAAGAGTAAATTCAAGTTAAAGTAGTTCTCTTTAAAATTTTGTATTACAAGGTTGCCTCTCTGTAAAAAGTTGCATAGGATAAACACATTTATAGTTTAACCATAGTGGAATACTGACTTTTTGAATAATAATTTCTTCCAAAGAGACATTATATTTCTAAGCTCTAGAAACTCAGTTACCTTTTTTTTTTTTTTTGAGACAGAACCTCAAGTTGTTGCCCTGGGTAGAGTGCTGTGGCATAACAGCTCACAGCAACCTCAAACTCCTGGGCTCAAGAGAGTCTCCTGCCTCCGCCTCCCAAGTAGCTGCGATTATAGGCACCTGCCACAATGCCTGGCTATTTTTTGGTTGCAGCCATCACTGTTGTTTGGCAGGCCTGGGCTGGATTTGAACCCTTGAGCTCAGGTGCATGTGGCTGTCACTTTAGCCGCTTGAGCCACAGGTGTTGAGCCAAAATTCAGTTACTTTTGAGTAGCTAAATCAAGATAATTTAAGACTAAGAGAATGCTAAAAGCAAAACAACTATCAGACGGCTGGGATCATGCTAAAAGATCTCAGGAGGCAGGTAAAAGAGGCGCTCATTGGCCAAAGATAGGACATTTTGAACATCAATAAACAGAATAACTACAACGGATTAAAAAACATAAAATACGCTTTACATTACCCTTCTGAGTAACTGGGACTATAGGCACGTGCTACCATGTATGGCTCATTTTAAAAATCTAGGTCATAATGATAAAACAATGCACTAGAGAATAAACTCATTATTCTAAAAATTAGCAAATAAGGGAAAAGAAGCAACCATTTTCCTGCCGTTTTTCTTTTCTTTTTTTGGAGATAGAGTCTTGGGGGCACCTGTAGCTCAATGGAGACAGAGTCTTACTCTGTTGCCCCAGGATAGAGTGCCACAGCTCACAGAAACCTAAAACTTCTGGGCTCAAGGGATCCTCTTGCCTCAGCCTCCTGATTAGCTGGAATTCTAGGCATGTGCCACCATGCCCAGTTAATTTTTCTATTTTTAGTAGAGATGGGGTCTCACTCTTGCTGAGGTTGGTATGGAACTCCAGAGCTGAAGCAATCCTCCCACCTAGGCCTCCCAGAGGTGCCTTCCTGACTTTCTTATATAAATAGGATCTTACCATAACTAGTTGATGAGGGAAAATTTTGTTTTGTTTTGTTTTGTTTTTTGAGACAGAGTCTTGCTCTGTTGCCCAGGGAATGCAATGGTGTCCTCATAGCTCACTACAATTTCAAACTTCTGGACTCAAGTGATTCTCCTGACTTAGCCTCCCGAGTAATTGGGACTACAGGCATGTACCATCACATGTGGCTAAGTTTTAAAAATTTTTTGCAGAGACAAGGTCTCACTATTGCCCACACTGGCTCAAACTCCTGGCCTCAAGCTAGGATTACAGATATAAGCCACCATGCTCAACGAATTCTCCTTTATAGAAGTATTCTAGCTAATAAGTGAAAAAAAAATCTTAATCTTACTATCACCATTTTGCAATCCATTTTAAAATATGGATTGCTAAAATTACTAGATGAGAAGCTTATAAGAAATCTTAGAAAGGATGGATTAGACAGGCAATAACTAATTCCATCGATCAATCTTAATATCACAAAAACAGAAAAAAACAAGATGTATGCTCTCTTGATATGATGCAACAGAAAACACACAATGCTACCTGTAAATTAGTCTTCTCAAAACTTAAATTTAAATCTGATTAAGTCTCTGGGATAGCTACAACTTTACAGGAAATATAGTAGTCAGAGGAACATATTAGATGATATCACACAGACAGCAAAATTGACACTATGGGATACTCTAAAAGATGAATATTATAGTTTCTTTAACAAACTACAAGCAAGAGAAGAAAGAATTACAGGAAGAAAAAAAGGGGGGGAAATTTTAAGAGGTATAGACATAACAAACAAATGAAACATTTGGCTCCTGATATAAAGAACTGTTAACACATGTGTGCCTGCACACACACCTCTGTAGGAATCAATAGGAGAAATCTAATAACTGATATTTAATATTAAAGGTGACATTAGTATGGATTTCTTTTTCTTTGAGATAGAGTCTCTGAAAAAAAAAAAAAGAGGTAGAGTCTCTGTCACTCTGGGCTTGAGTGCTGTGATGTCATAGCTCACAGCAACCTCAGATTCCTGGGCTGAAGTGATTCTCTTGCCTCAGCTTTCTGAGTAGCTCAGACTATAGGTACCCACCACAACACCTGGCTATTTTTAGTAGAGCCAGGGCTTGCTCTTGCTCATACTGGTCTCAAACTTCTGAGCTTAAGCAATCCTCCCACCTCTGCCTCCCAAAGTGCTGGGATTATAGGTATGAGCCCCCATACCTAGCCCACATTTATGGATTTCTTATGTATGTGTATACCCATAGCCCTTTGAAATAATAAAGAATTGAAACAATAAAATAAGAGTCCTGTTCTTTAAGAAAAACATATGGAAATATTTAAGAATGAAATGATATGGGGTTTGCTTCAAATACTCTGGAGTTGGAAGAAGAAAGCAGAGTAGAAATACAGGTCAGGAGTCAGGAAAATATGGCCTGCAGACCACAGGCCCATAGCCTGTTTTTTTGGCTACAGCCTTAAAGCCAAGAATATTTATGTTAAAAAAAAAAAAAAAAAAAGGGCAGCACCTGTGGCTTAAAGGAGTAGGGCGCCGGCCCCATATGCCAGAGGTGGAAGGTTCAAACCCAACCCCAGCCAAAAAAAAAAACAACAAAAAACTGAAAAAACAACAACAAAAAATAAGCCAGGCTTGGTGGATCACACCTATAATCCTAGTGTTCTGGGCGGCCAAGGCAGGTGGATCACCTAAGCTCAGGAGTTTGGGACCAGCCTGAGCAAAGCAAGACCCTGTCTCTACTAAAAATAGAAAAACTAGCCTGGCATTGAGGCAGGTGCCTGTAGTCCCAACTACTTGGGGGAAAGAGACAAGAGTATCACTTGAACCCAAGAGTTTGAGGTTGCTGTAAGCTATAGTGCCATGACACTCTACCCAAGGGTGACTGAGTGAGACTCTGTCTCAAACAAACAAACGAACAAAAAAAAGCCCAGCTTTCGGTGCCTGTGGCTTAGTGGGTAGGGCACTGGCCCCATATACTGAGGATGGCAGGTTCAAACTTGGCCCCAGCCAAACTAGAACCAAAAAATAGCTGGGCATTCTGGTGGACACCTGTAGTCCCAGCCACTCAGTACCCTGAAGCAAGAGAATCGCCTAAACCCAGGAGATGGAGGTTGCTGTGAGTTGTGACACCACAGCAGCCTGCCAAGGGCAATAAAGTGAGACTTTGTCTCTAATTCACCCATTTAAGACATACAATTCAGTGCTCTTTAGTATATTTATGGAATTCTGTAACCATCACAATTAATTTTAGAACATTCTCATCACCCCTCAAAAAACCCTACACTTTCTTAGCAGCTGCCTCTCCTTCTCCCCAGGCCTCTCAGCCCTTGTTAACAACTAATTTACTTTGTCTCCAATATGTAGTATTTTCTGACTGTTTTTTCTCACTTAAAATGTTTCAAGATTCAGATACATTGTAGTACTTATCAGTACTTCATTCCTTTCTATTACCAAATTAAGAAGAGTTTTTACATTTCAAAGGATTAAAAAAAAACACAAACAAAAGTATGCCACAAAGACCAAAATGTATCTATCAAAGCTGAAAACATGTGGTTCTTTACAGAAAAAGTTTGCTAACCCCTGATATTTGTGGAAGATAGGCCATATGCTGAAAATGGCTGAAGATGAGTGATGGGTACATGGAGGTTCGCTATACTATTCTCTATACCTTTATGTATGTTTGACATATTTCCATAAATAATTAAAATTTTTTCTGATTCTGAGATGATGAAAATGTTTATATTTCCAATTAAAAATAGTTCAGAGTACAGAAGAAACTCTGAGGCAAAAACAGACAATGTTCAAAAGAAAAAAAAATAATGATAAAAGTCATGATGATGAAAGTCTCTGAAATCATTTTTAAATCAATGGTTTGAAAAAAATTCAGTTTTCTGCTAAGTTCAATAAACAATGAAGTTAGTCAGTAAGAACTATCATGAATACAAAATGTTAACTTTTGGGGGTGACAAGGTAAGAGACTAATCACAATTTTCCAGTAGGTTTTCTAGTTGGTTGCTGTTGAAAACATTACTAAGATTCTTAAACATCAAGGTCTTCCAAGGTCAGTTCACAGGATTGATTTTCAGACTTTTAAAAGGGTAGCCAACTGTTACTCATTCCCTAATTTCTCTTACCTCCTCTTTCTGCATTCACAGCTGACTCAACTGAATCAACACACACTTCCATGAGAAATCCATTCGCTGCTCCTAAGGTACATGGAGAACACACAAATTCATGAAGGTACTATCTATCCCACCAATTTACCACACATATTTTATATTCTGCTGCCAAAATCTAAATGTCTAGTAATAGGGAAATAGAAGTATATGGGACCATGAATGTACTAAAATATTACATTAATTATGAAATTAATGCCTCTGGACTGAAAAATAGGTACACATATATGTATATGTATGTATGTATGTGTGTGTGTGACATATATATGAAATTTCACTGAGGAAAATACACACTGAATGCCAAATTAATCTCCCTGCTGGGCTCAGCACCTGTAGCTCAGAGGCTATGGCGTCAGCCACATAACACGGGAGTTGGTGAGTTCAAATCCAGTCCAGGCCTGCTAAACAATGACAACTCCAACCAAAAAATAGCCAGGTGCTGTGGCGGGTGCCTGTAGTAGTCCCAGCTACTTGGGAGGCTGAGGCAAGAGAATTGCTTAAGCCCAAGAGCTTGAGGTTGCTGTTAGCTGTGACACCATAGCACTCTACCCAGTACAACATAGTAAGACTCTGTCTCAAAAAAAAAAATCTCCCTGCTGACCACAGCAAGTGCGGCATCTACCATGGTGCATAATAGTCACTCAAATATCTACTAAAGGCTAATTATAAATTTATAAAAATTTATGTATTTATATAAAAAGGGGGGTGTAAATGGTTTTGTTTTTTCTGTAAGCACATAATTTTTTTTTTTTTTTGAGACAGGAGCCTCAAGCTGTCCCCCTGGGTAGAGTGCCGTGGCATCTCAGCTCACAGCAACCTCCAACTCCTGGGCTCAAGCGAGTCTTCTGCCTCTGCCTCCCAAGTAGCTGGGACCACAGGCGCCCGCCACAACACCAGGCTATTTTTTGGTTGCAGCTGTCATTGTTGTTTGGCTGCCCGGGCTGGATTTGAACCCGGCCACCTTGGGTGTACATGGCTGGCGCCTTAGCCACTTGAGCCATAGGCGCCAAGCCAGCACATAATTTTTTAAAAATTAAAAATACTGAGCACATACTTTCTGCAATGATACCTGATAGAATGTTCACCACATACTGGTAATGGTTACATTAGAGGATGGGATTTGAAATTACTGCTTTTATAATTAAAAAAGCTTTTATTTAGAAAAAAAAATCTATCATCTGCTAATATCAAACTGCAACTTCCTTATTTAAAGAAGACCAGCGGTCCCAAACTGTTTAAGAGTTAAATGTCAATCAATGCTCTTAATTAACACCAGGGGCTTCCTGATAGCTACCAGACCAGCTGCCAGGTCAATGGCATTGCACAAAGCTGCAGGGTACCATTTGCTTGGCTGGGAGAAGATGGAAATGTGCACAGAAGGCTGTAACAGAAGGCAGAGGGAGGGTGTTGTCCTTAGCACGAAAGTTATTTGCAGGCCTCAAAGAAGACTTTTTTTTAAAGCAGTTCTCCGACTTTTGGGGGGCCTCTGAGACACTTTCAAAGTCTCTGGGGTGAAAACTGTTTTCATAATAATACACACTAAAACTTTATTTGCCTTTTCTCACTCATACTCTCACAAACGGAATGGTGTTTTCCAGAGGCCATTTGACAGGTCAGATTGTATGCAGAAGCAGGTATGAGAATCCAGATGTCTTTCATGAAGCCAGATATGTAAAAAATTTGCAAAAATTTAAAATTTCGCCACTCTTGCTCTTTGCGTGTGGGAAGATTTTTCATAAAAATTATGTGATTCAAGTTAGTAAGTAATGAATTTACTATGGCTACTTTCTAATCAATCAACCAATCAACATTTGAATAGTTTGTTTTAATTTCTAATAGGGTCAAACTCCATAGATCTCAGGATCTCAATAACTTTTAGCAAGGAAAAGGAGTCTTGAGATCAAACTTTGAGAACTGCTGGTTTGAAGGAGCCTAAGAGTTCAGCGCGGAGGAAGAGGAGGGACTTGGCACACTGGCACCTGTCATGCCATCCCTCCCTGGCGCGCAGGAAGAGCTCAGGACTTGGAGCAACCACAGCTCCATCACGCGGTAGTTGTGTGGCTTTGGGGACAAGCCCCGCCCCCGCCGTAGTGGCTCCCCGTTACTGCAGGTTAGGGACCACGCTCTGCGATCGACATTTTACTATCAGAGAGATGGGGCGGTGGCTGCTATCCTTGTGTGGCGACGGGAAACGCGAAGCTGAAGTTAACCAACTTGCACTATCACCGTATGTGGGGGCGCCGGGATTCGAACACACACATGTGCCTCCAGAGCCAGGCCACTCTGGCTACCTGCCCCTCGCCAGACCCTCCGTTTCTACACGCGTAAAGCCTCAGTGATAGAACGTGCAGCACAAGGGCTTCGAAGGAAACTATTCCGGGGGACATCAGCACTGGCCAGGGCTCCCGCCGGCCCGCCCCAGTGAGCCGAGTCGGCCGACCGCCCCTTCCCCACCACCTTCGCACCGGCCTTCCCAGACGGGATCCGCGCCCGTTTCCTCTCAGAGGAGGCCCCCTGCCTCTTCATGCTCCACGCGTTACTCCCTCGGGCGCCTGCGGTTTCCACTCTCAGTCTGGTTGCCCGCGCGCGCGACCTCAGAAGCGCGTCCTCAACAGCTGCGCGCGCCCCTGCGCGTCCCTGACAGCCACGCCCCAGCGGCCCTCGCGACCCAAACATCAGCGCAGGCGCACTCAATGTCACGGTCACTCAGATTTCCGGAGGAGGGGCTCGCGTAGCCTGACCCGGAAGTGCTCCTTCTTTCGGTAGCAGAAAAAGGAGACCGTAGGTCGCTGGATTTTGGAAGTGGCCAGAGTTTACTGTCGTCAATATGCAGCGGTTGCTTTCACCGCCCCTGAAGGCCTTGACCGGGAGCCGGTGTCTGCGGCCTCTGGTTCCCAGGGCGGCGCCTGGAGCACAGGTATCGCATTGCAGCGAACTCCGAGTCTCGGAAGTGGGGGTGAGGTGAAATGGCCAGGATAAAGGTACCTGAGAGCCTCACATCAGATTACCGTAGCTCCTTATGGTGCATTCACATCGTATTTCCTCGGGTTCAGAGTGTCTGGGCTTAAGAATTACCACTGAATTGCTATCTTGGCCAAAGTACTTAAACTCTCTGTGACTCAATTTCCATATTTGTGAAATGGGGATAACAATACCTACTTTATAAATCAAGCCTTTAGCACATGGTAAAAGCTCAGTAGTCTACCCGCATTGTTGATTTTTGGTAAAAGGCCTCGAGTAATTAGGAACTATAACTCCATTCTACAGACAAGGAAATTGAGGCTTAAAATCACTCAGTTAATCAGCAGTAAGGATTTGTAGACTCTTAAAATCAGAGTCAGAAGAGGGTATGTATTTGCTTAACCAATAGTTACTGAGTGATTACTATATATAAGGAGGAAAAAGATAAATACCACAAGGTTCCTGCCCTGGAGAAACTCACACTTCATTCATTTGTTAATTTACTTGTCAAGTCTTTTTTTTTTTTTTTTTTGTAATTTGAGACAGAGTTTAACTTTGTCCCGAGTAGAATGCCAGGGCCTCATCATAGCTCACAGCAATCTCAATCTCTTGGGTTCAGGAGATCCTCTTGCCTCAGTCTCTCAAATAAGGTGGGAGTACAGGTGCCCACCACCACAGCTGGCTATTTTTCTGTGTTTAGTAGAGACAAGGTCTGGCTTTTGCTCAGGCAGTCTACCCTCCTTGGCCTCCCAGAGTGCTAGGATTACAGGTCACCACGTGTCCTGTAAATATTTGTCAAATTTTTATTGAAGTCTTGTTAAGAAAAGGAATAGTGTTAAGAAACAAAAGTACCTGGAGGGGAAGAGCAAGACTGACCAGACCCTGCTGTTCCAGAGCTCAAAATTTAGTGGGAGATATAGATAGATGAACCTTAAGGTACAGTTATGTGCTGCTTAACATTTTGGTGAACAGACCACATATACAACAGTGGTGCCGTAAGATTATAATAGAACTGCCTTATACAGGCATGCCATTTTTTATCTTTTAGACCTTATTTTTAATGTACTTTTTTCTGTTTAGATACATAAACACTTACCATTATGTTACACTTGCCTACATTATTTACTACAATAACTTCCTTTGTATTCCAAAGAGCAATAGACCATATGTCTTGGCAATAGAACACATGTTCCTGTTGTTAAGTGACATCTGACTGCACATTGCAATGTATTAAGGGGATAGGAGAGGTACAGTGTACTAAGGGAATGACCTGTTGTAGACCTTCAAGAGTCTACACTTCCCAGAGCAGGTGAATCTAAGCTGAGATCTGCAGTAGGTATCATCCATTAGGAGATGGGAGTGTCCCAGTCAGAAATCATGCTTAAATATCCAGAGGAGGGTAGCCACAGTGACTCACACCTGTTATCTCAGCACTTTGGGAGGCTAAGGGGTAAGGATTGCTTGAGACCAGGAATTTAAGACCATCCTGGACAACATAGTGAGACCCTGTCTCTACAAAAAACAAAAGAAGAGAGAAATTAGCCAGGCGTGGTGGTACATGCCTGTAGTTCTAGCTCCTTGGGAGGCTGAGGCAGGAGGATTGCTTGAACCCAGAAGTTGGACATTGCAATGAACTATGATTCCCCCATGTCACTCCAGCCTGGGTGACAGCAAGACCCTATCTCTAAAAAATAAGTAACTACTCAGAGGAGAAAAAATAATCCATGTCTGGGTGTAGAGTAAAGCCTGGAGGATGTATGCAGAGACCAGAAGATTCATTTAGTGTTGGGATGATTGGAGTAAGGCAAGACTTGAGACAGGAAAACAGGTGGAAGGTAGATGCAGTAGTCCAGATAAGAGATGATGTTTTACCAGGGTAGAAGCTGTAGAAATGCAGCCATACAGAGGGTACTTCACCCTAGGCAGAATGAGATTGAATGTGGCTAACAGCCTTTCTTTGTTTCTATAGTTGTATTTTATCTCTCTTGATCCTTAGTGTGGTTGCAGCTGTGGCATGAGGCGCCCTTTGAGGCCAGGGCAATACAGCACTATCTCCGAGGTAGCTTTGCAATCTGGAAGGGGCACAATGTCCCTTCCCTCAAAGGCTGCTGGGCGAATGGTGGGGCGATGGCTCCTGGTCTGCAGTGGAACAGTGGCTGGAGCAGTTATTCTTGGTGGTGTAACTAGGTGAGTAATTTATCATACTGAGTCAGGTATTTGGGTCATCAGTGAAAGCGCAGGAAAGTGACTGAGGAAAAAGGGATCTTTGGGAGTATCTAGTCTAGCATCCTCAGAGAATGGAGGATGGAGAAATTTTACACCTGGAGAAATTGAACCCTTAAAGATGCACATGTCTGATAGCTTGCTCTGCCATATAATGCTTTAGTGTTTTTAACTGGTATTTGTGCATAATGTGTGTGTATTTTCTTTCACTCATCAGAGTTCTTTTGTTTCAAAACTTTTTTTACAGTTTGTTTGTTTGAATTAAACCCAGTTAGGTTTCTTTTCTTTTTGAGACAGAGTCTCACTATGTCACCCTTGGTAAAGTGCTATGGTGTCACAGCTCACAGCAACTTCAAACTCTTGGGCTTAAGCGATTCTCTTGTCTTAGCCTCCTGAGTAGCTGGTGCCCGCCACATTGCCCAGCTATTTTTTAGTTGCAGTTGTTTAGCAGGTCCCCACTGGGTCAAACCCGCCACCCCTGGTTTATGTGGCCAGCGCCCTAACCACTGAGCTGTGGGCGCCAAGCCCCGGTAGGTTTCATACAACACAGTTGGTTCATATGTCTCTTAGGTTTCTTTAAATCTTTAGAGTCTTTATAGATTTAGACTTTATCCCCTTCTTTGTTGTTGTTGAAGAAGCTTATCCTGTGTTTATCCTCATAGATAGATTGTGCTAATTGCAACCTTTGGTGATGTTTAACATGACCCTTTGTCCCCTGTTATTTACTGTAAATGGATAGTAGTTTGATCAGATGCAGATTGAGGACAAGGGGGCAAAATACTTCATAGGTTATTAAACGTTTATGAGTAAGTGATGTCTGTTAGAGGTGTCAACAGCCATTGATTAACATTGCCTACATCCACTATTTCATTAGAGTTGTAAAATTGTAATTTTTTTTGGCTTAACTCTGTAAAGAAAAATTTTCCCTCATCAACAATTTGGTTATCCCAAGGTATGGTTGGTATAGGAAAGGCAGGATGGATACTTTGATTCTTTCACTCTGTTTAACAGTTTTCAAAATAATAAATTAATTCTCAGGATCCTCTAAAGACAACAAAGTGTTTGAGTTTTTAAAGTGATATTCTTACGGGTTGATAGGTTTAAACACATTTGATGTTTCAATCCATTGTGATGATGGTGTTAATGATTTTCTCAAATTATCACATCTTTAGTTGGTGAGAATCCCTTGAAATTGGATCCAGCATCATTTTGACAGGCCTTCCTTAGTTACCTCTGATAGCTTCATTACTTTCTAACATAGTAAGATGTTCTAGGCTCCTCTTCAACATTTTTTGCCTCAGGCCTAAAATCAGCCTTATACTTTAGCACACCTAACTCCTTCTGATGAACATACTTTCTGGTTTTAATAACATGAATCTGCCTCAAAGTCTCTCCACATTGCCCTTATTTCAAAATACCTCCCATGTCATATATGCTCTTATGGGAAACGGCAGCAAATTTGAGTTTTATTGTTTTAGATTCACTCAAGAACCTGAACTTGTATACCTTACTAACGAATCTTTTTTCCCTGAGTAAAGAATGTTGGTTATGCATTTTAGGACACATTTCTTTAGTCTAGGCAGTGTTTTTCAACCTTTTCTATCTCACAGCAAACTTGAACCTATAGTTGAAACTTTCATGGCACACTTAAATTATGTTGATCAAAAAAAAAGAATGAAAAAGAGAATATAGTTACTGTTCTTTGAACTGCTTTCAAAAATAATTTATTTATTTATTATTATTATTATTTTTAATTTGTCGCCCTTGGTAGAGTGCCGTGGCATCGCAGCTCACAGCAACCTCCAGCTCTTGGCCTTGGGCAATTCTCTTGCCTCAGCCTCCCGAGTAGCTGGGACTACAGGCACCCACCACAATGCCTGGCTATTTTTTGGTGTAGTTTGGCCAGGGCCGGGTTCGAACCCACCACCTTAGGTCTGTGGGGACAGCACCCTACTCACTGAGCCACAGGTGCCACCCCTTGCTTTCAAAAATAATTAACGATCCTTAAAATTTTTTCATGGCATAACTAAGATCCTCTTATGGCACGCCAGTTGAAAATCACTGGTCTAGGGGTTGATTTTACCTGTTAAAGAATGCTAGTGAAAGAAAGAAGTAAGGAGAATTGAATGAAAGGATTGAGAGAATATGAAGCTAAAGAAATTTGTATCCAATGCCAGCTGTTTCTGACAAAATTCTGAGCAGTAAGAGGGAAAGATTGTCAATAGAAGAAACAATGAAACCATGTGTTTACTTCTAACAAGGTTAAGTTCATCTCCACTTGTTGCTATAACCCTTTATGAGTGATCCAGCCTCATGCACACACCCCAGAATTTCTTTCCTATCCTAAGGTTGACAGAGTCTGGCCTCTCGATGGTAGATTGGCATTTAATAAAGGAGATGAAGCCACCTACAAGCCAAGAGGAATGGGAAGCAGAATTCCAAAGATACCAGCAATTTCCAGAATTTAAAATGTAAGTATTGGAGATAATCAGATAAACATCTCATTGGGCCTATTCAATCTTTTGCTTATTTAAACCCTTCAGAATGGTCAGATTCCTTTATTTCTCCATCTTGGGCTGCCTGTTGTAAGCCTCTAATTCCAAAGTCATCCCGGGGTCACTGATGGGGAAGAGAGCAGACCTACCAAGCTGCAAGACTCAGATTGTTGCTGCATTTTGTAGGAAAATAAAAATCAGATGGGTATTTCCTCTTTTTTTTTTGACTTCCCATTTCACCCAGATTGAATCATGATATGACGTTGGCAGAGTTCAAGTTCATCTGGTACATGGAGTACTCACACCGAATGTGGGGTCGTCTTGTAGGTCTCGCATATATCCTGCCTGCTGCCTACTTTTGGAGAAAGGGCTGGCTGAGCCGTAACATGAAAGGACGTGTTCTTGCCCTCTGTGGCTTAGTCTGCTTCCAGGTAAGATGTAATCAAGATTGAGAAAACAGAGATGCTCCCAGGAGCTTCCTAGTCAGCATTGTTTTTAAGGAAGTAATCTTTGCGGTACTATAAGAGAGTGAATAAGAACGTGTCACAGGTCTGGCTTCAAGCCTCAGCTCTGCCACTTAAGACAAATTATCTAACCTCTGTAGGCTATGTAAATGGGGATAATAATAGTGCCTACCAGTTAGGGTTGTGTGAATTATTAAATGAGATGATGCATATAAAATACTCAGTTTAGTGCCTGGAATCAGTAAGCACTCAGTGGTATACTTTCATGTGCCACAAGTAGAGTTACCCATGATAGCTATCCTCCTGGGTTGTTGTCTCTTCCCTTTTTTTGACTTCTAGTATAGGGAAGGTGGGATCCTCATACTAGAATGGCTACAGAAGCAAGTGGGAAAGTTTCAAAAGAGAGAAACATTCTGTGGGATGAAGCATCTTTGAATATACAGCTAAGAGATACTTTAGTTATAAGTGGTGACTAAAATCACATACATCGAACTCTTAAGGAAAAGAGCTTTGAAAGACTTTCACAGTTAAGAGGTTGGATGAAACTTAAGAGCTAAGAAAGGAATTATGAGAGAAGATACACAGGAGTATTTGGGTTAAGATACAGAGATCCTAAGAGAGAGCATCATAATTTGCTCAGGAGGAAGCTAGTTGATTAATTTAACTCAGAAGTGGTAAGAAGATGAAGCCAATTAGAAGAGATTAAGGAGAGAGAAGAGAGAGAAGAAATAGAGGCAATGGAAACATAAAGAGTGTCTAGGGGAAGATAAATGGAACAAAATGAAAGTTAATATTTTTAATTATTATTAAAGTTAATAATTTTTTTAGGGAAAAAAACTCCAAAAACAGACAACAAGGAGGCAGAAGTAGAAGATGGCAGGGTTATTGGGAAGAATCAAGTAAGAGCTGGTAAATCACATGATGCCTTCATCTTTCAATGTAGGTGAAATCAAGGTAGAGGGAGTATACAGGGTAATCTTGAAAGGTAAAAGAAATGTCCAGAAAAATTTCCTCAAGAGTATGTATTTAGAAGAGGTGGCAGCATCCCAGTTCCTTGACCTGATTCTACTGGCTTGGGAGGGCAGAGGTGAAGGAGTTGTACCTTATCTGATATTGGAACTGACAGTTGTATGGTTAATTGAAAAAGCCAGTTAAAGCAGAGAATTGTAGAATATGATACAAAGTGTCAACTTTTAAACTTAAAATTATACTTCCATTAACAACTTTAAAAAATTCCAGGGCGATAGCCTTTTCTTTGACTATGAGTCCCCAATCTCATAAATCTCCATAAACTATGATTTCCAATTTCATTTTCCTTAAGAATGAGAACTTAGATATTTGCAAAGCAATCTGAATGTAAAACCTTACAGATTTTTATGACTTCTCCCTCAAAACTTTTATAATTGTCTTATTCTCACCTAACTTAACAGTATTTTTAAGTAGTTACCTTTGTTAAGCTTTTCCAAAGCATTCAATCTAGTTTTCATAGAATCCACTCTCTTTTTATTCTATTTTACAGGTTTATATAATGTTAAATTATATCAAGTATTTGTAAAATTTTGTATGCAAATACACTTTTTGTGCACTTTTCTATAATTGTATTATACTTGAATAAATGTTATTCTAAAGATTGGTTAATTATTAATGGTGATTTTGTACAGAGTATATGTAGCATTGTGGATTGGTCATGACTTTTGGGACACTTGGGTCATGTGGGAAGGTATGGAGAGAGGAGGGATCAAGTAGGAGTATTCATGATAAAACTTACTTCCTCCATAAAGTTAAATAGGTCATTTCAACTTTATCTTTTTTTTTTTTGAAACAGAGTCTCATTTTGTAGTTTCACAGGGTAGAATGCCATGGCATTATCATAGCTCACACTTGCAGGGGTCCTCAAACTTTTTAAACGGGGGGCCAGTTCAGTGTACCTCAGACCATTGGAGGTCCGGACTGCGGGCCCTGGGACAAGTCGGCTGCTGAGCAGGACAGGCTGTGGTGGCAAAAATACCTGGCGGGCCAGATAAATGTCCTGGGCATGTGGCCTACAGGCCGTAGTTTGAGGATGTCTGGCTCACAGCAACCTCAGGCTCTTAGGCTCAAGTAATCACCTAGCCCCAGCCTCCTGAATAGCTGGGACTACAAATGCCTCCCATGACAGCTAGTTTTTCTGTTTTTATCTTTTTTTTTGAGACAGTCTCACTACGTTGCCTTTAGTAGAGTGCCGTGGTGTCACAACTCATAGCAACCTCAAATTCTTGGGCTTAAGCAATTCTCTTGCCTCAGCTTTCCAAGTAGCTGGGACTACAGGTGTCCACCACAGTGCCTAGCAGTTTTTGGGGTTGCAACTGTCATTGTTGTTTAGCAGGCCTGGGCTAGGTTCAAACCCACCATCCTTGGTGCATGTGGCTGGCACCATAACCACTGTGCTATGGGCGGTGAGTCTAGTTTTTCTATTTTTAGTAGAGATAGTGTCTCACTCTTATTCAAGCTGATCTGGAACTTGTGAGCTCAAGCAATCCACCCTCCTCGGCCTCTCAGAGAGCTAGGTGTACAAGCATGAGCCACTATTCCCAGCCTCAACCTTGCTTTATTTGCCTCTTCTCTTTTGGGTTCTAGGGTCTTTTGGGATGGTATATGGTGAAAAGTGGATTAGAAGAAAAACCAGACTCTCATGACATCCCTCGAGTCAGCCAGTATCGCCTTGCCGCTCACCTGGGATCAGCCCTTGTTCTTTATTGCGCCAGCTTGTGGACCTCGCTGTCTCTGCTGCTCCCTCAGCACAAGGTAGACCCTGCTTTCAGTGCTTTCGGATATGTATCTAGAAATAATAGAACCCCTGGATCACATAAGAGCTGAATATTTTGTCAACATTTTCTACTGGGGAAGGTAAAACATGAAGTTTTTTAAAAATGGGAAAGAGTCCCAACAAAAGACATCTTGACCACTTTAATTTTGACTCCCAGAAGGGATGGTGAGGCAAGAAAAAGTAGAACAGAGCTATTTCCGAAGCTTTTGGTGGTGTATGAGAGGGATATTATGTTGTTGGCTAAATGAGGACTGCCATTCAAGTCTAACAATATACTTACTCTTAGAAATTTTGTCTAAAAGTATTTTTCTATATGCTGATGAAAGGAAAATACTAGTTTTTACATTTTATGTTTTGCTTTAGAAGCAAGGCCTGACTTTTTTGAGGCTTCATTAATAATAGCACCACACTCTTGTAGGACATCTTTTTCCCAGTATTTAAAAAAAATGAGTATTGGGTGGTACCTGTGGCTCAGTCAGTAGGGCGGGTTCAAACCTGGCCCCAGCCAAACTGCAACAAAAAAATAGCCAGGTGTTGTGGCGGTTGCCTGTAGTCCCAGCTACTCAGGAGGCTGAGGCAAGGGAATCGCCTAAGCCCAGGAGTTGGTGGTTGCTGTGAGCTGTGATGCCACAGCACTCTACCGAGGGTGATAAAATGAGACTCTGTTTCTACCAAAAAAAAAAAATGAGTATTAGGTATTAAAATTATGGGTTTACCCAAGTAAGCTCTTCATGGAGAGAAGTTTGAGATAACAGTAAGGCTCTTGAGTATAATCATCCTTTAGGTACTTTGGAGTTAATGGCTTACATCCAGTAGAGACTAGAGATGTTGATTTGGCAGTTACTCCCATAGAGTACCAAGATGGATTGAAACATTGATCTTATAGACAATCCATATGTGAATAATTCCTCTTTTCCTGGCTTTCAAAGCCAGCCTTCTAAAATGAATTGCCTGCATTTATAGATTCTACTTCCTGACAACCCATTCTCCATTCCTTCTTTTCTTTTCTTTTTTTTTTTTTTTTTTGGAGACAGAGTCTCAAGCTGTCACCCTGGATAGAGTACAGTGGCATCACAGCTCACAGCAACCTACAAATCTTGGGCTTAAGCGATTCTCTTGCCTCAGCCTCCCAAGTAGCAGAGACTGTAGGCATCTGCCAC